GTTTAGTACTCTGGTTCTGTACACGGATAGCCATCGTAGCCCTACTGTATAAACACTTCAGCACTTCGATATACCGACAGTCAACTTGGCACCGCTGAAGAGACTGTAGCACTGCCAAAATTTCGACGGAATCAAAGGCTTTCTCATAATCCACATACGCCAGGCAAAGTGGCAGATTGTACTCTTCGTACTTCTGTACAATTTGCCGAAGGGTATGTATGTGGTCTATGGTACTAAAGCCTTTTCTGAAACCGGCTTGTTCTGGAGGCTGGAAGTCGTCGAGTCTGCTTGCGAGATGATTCATAATGACTCTCGAAACAGCACTTAGACACGGCTCGGAAGGGATATTGGTCTGTAGTTCTTCAACAGGGCGTTGTCACCGTTCTTGAAGAACAAGACCACCGCACTTCTGCTCCATGCCTTGGGAATAGTGCCCTCCATGAAGGACGGAATTAAAAAGCTTATGAAGAACTTCAAGTACCGGTCTTCCACCCGCTTTCAGAAGCTCCGCCGTAATTCCATCCTCGCCCGGGGACTTGCCGTTTTTAAGGTGCTGGAGAGCCATTCTAATCTCGCTCAGACTGACGTTCGGGATATCATCGGAATAGTGTCGGATAAGACTTGCTCTTGGATCGTTACTCACACTTGCGTGTGGCTCCAACGATGATGTGTACAGCTGCCCATAGAACCTCATCTCACTCAGAATCTCAGGTGTCTCGGAAACGATGCTGCCACACTCAGTCTTCAGCTTTGACAGTTGGCTCTTACTGGCAGACAGATCTCTGGCAAAGACTTAGGAGCCCTGGTTCCGCTCAATCGCTTCTTCAATACGAGTTGTATTGAAGTTGCGTAGGTCCTGCCGCATGCATTTGGAGATCTGTCTGTTCAGTTGCCTGCATGCTGTCAAATCTGCTGACGACTGCAGCTTTATCGCCCGTCTAACATCCAACAACACAAGCTATATTATGACATTTTAAATTACAAGATACTACTATTTCACGAAACGATAGACTATTTTAAGATATGATCAGTCTACGAATTAGTCACGACAATAAAAATCTCTGTAATCAAATTATAAGGTTAATGAGAATTTTGCAATAATTGCAGGCAGACCAGTTTAAATCAGTTTACATATATGTACATTAGTAATTGAACTAAAACCATGTAGATTTCACGTCCTTAATAATTCACTATTATCTGTTTAAATAATTACACTATTTAAAAGAAATTACGAAAAAGCTCAAAAAAAGTTAGGATTTTAAATAATTTTATATACCTCATTTGATAAGTAACTGAAGGCAAACATGTACTTTTTCTATTTGATAATAGATGGCGCTGTTTTGAAAACTTAAAATGTAGATCGGCGGACTAGTTTCAAATCGTTTAATACAAAGGTTAAAATTAAGTTGAAACTTTATTAAAAAAGGTATTTATTTGAAAAAAAAAACACAAGTCATTCTGCATATACACGTAACTAACAGAATCATAACCAAAATTAAAATCTACAGGAAGGAAAATACTTTTTTGAAGTTTCGTAATCGGATAAAAATTTGCCTGTAAGTTGTCCCGGTTACTATTACTAATCGGTTAGTAGTATTTACAGTGTAGTACTAACTACCTACATAGAAAATTTCATGGAAATCTGTCCAGTAGTTTTTGTGTAAATTGTGAATACACATACAGAAAGAAAGACAGACAGACAGACAAAAATTCTTAAAATAAATAATTTGGCTCAATACCTCTTGTCTCCCGGTTTTTTCCCCCAGAATATATTAGAATTAGAGATACGATTTTTTATAACAGATTTATTATATGTCATATAGTATTCAAACCTACCAACCTAATCACGCTTCGAAATCAAAATAGGGTATTGGTTGTTTATATTTTTAAGATATTATGTTGTATACGATAATAATTTTTTTAAAGTTTTATAAGATTATTTTTTGATTAATGTAAGCATCATTATTAACATAAAATATGTTTATATAGTGAAAAATACTCTAGAAAAAGGCAATAAAAATAGTTTTCAATATTTAATCCTGTTTTGTATACCTATTGTGCGAATTTTTCAGATAGTAACTTAAAAAAAAAAACAGTGTAGTGATGCGCATTATTGTTGTCAATAATCGTTATCGATAGGGTAATTAGTTTTGTCATTATGTGGGTTAGTAATAAAAAGAAAAAAAAGATAAAACAACGTATTTATTAAAGTAAGTAATATTTTAATAAGTTTATTAAAATAAATTTATTAAAATATTAAATAAAATAATTCACAGGATGCTTTGGGTATATTCTGTGACCTATCCAACCAAGGCCTTCGATTGTGTTCACCATGAAACATTAATCAGGAAACTTCAACACTACGGTGTAAGAAGTGATGCTCTTAAATTAATTATTTCATATTTAAGTGACAGAACGCAAAAAGTTGTAATTAATAGTATGAGTTCTTCCGGGTCGACTGTACAAATGGGCGTGCCTCAGGGCTCAATTCTCGGCCCCTTTCTGTTTCTTGTATATATTAATAACTTACCTTACATAGTAGGGGATAACCATGATATAGTATTATTTGCTGATGATGCTTCATTAATTTTCAAATTAAAACGACAGTTATTAAATTACGACGAAGTAAATAATGCTATAGCTAATGTAGTCAATTGGTTTAATGTTAATAATTTGCATTTAAATGAAATTAAAACTAAATTTATGAAATTCGTAACTCCTAATGTCAAACATGTTAATACGAATGTAACTTTAAATGGGGAAGAACTGAGTCTTGTTGATACCACCATTTTTCTTGGAATCTCACTAGACGCAAAGCTTCAATGGCTCCCCCATATATCAAAACTAGCTAGCAGACTTAGTTCTGCAGCATATGCTGTAAAAAAGATTAGAACTCTTACCAGTGTTGAAACAGCAAGAATAGTTTACTTTAGTTATTTCCATAGCATTATGTCGTATGGTATTTTGCTATGGGGACACGCGACTGACACTGAAATTATATTTATTTTACAGAAGAGAGCCATTAGAGCAATATATAATTTAAAACCAAAAGAGTCACTGAGACAAAAATTTTAAGGAAATTAATATATTAACTCTGGCCTCTCAATACATTTATGAAAATGTAATGTACGTACACAAGAATAAACGTAGTTTTGCAAAAATAAGTAATATTCATTCTGTAAATACTAGGAACAGACACAAGCTAGTAGTACCAGTTACTCGACTCCACCGAGTCAGTAATTCATTCTTGGTGCGATGTATACGCTTTTACAACAAAATCCCAGAAAATATACAAAATTTGTCATACGCAAAGTTCAAAAATTTTATTAAACTAAGTTTGTATAAAAAGGGTTATTATAATATTAAGGAATTTATGGATGATAGTAACCCCTGGGAAGGGTGATCGCTACCAAGCTATTTCTAATTTGTGTTGTGTTGTTAATTGTAAACATGATTGTAAGCTATTATTTGAAAAAAAAAAATAGTCTCGCTGGGTTTCTTGCTGGTTCTTCCCAGGACAGAGGTTTTTTATGCGAACCAGTGGTAAATGAAAAAATTGACTTTCAATAAGTATTGCTTATAATCTACATTGAATAAAAAAGTTTCTGTTTCTGTTTCTAAGAATTATAATGATTTTAAATAAATTATTAATTAGGTATCTATGTATTAAAAATACTATAAGTACAAATGTTTGGAATGGTTGTTCCATATTATCCATTCCAGTTACATATTAAAAATAAATATAAATATAAGGATTATAACTTATATCTAAAATAAAATCTAAAACTATTTACATTAAAATTCTATATCAGAATCATCAGTCATCGTCATCCACATGAAATACGATATCTTCTGCCAGATGAGATTGCTTCAAGTCGTCCTCTTGAAGTTTTTTTGCATGCTTCACACAATCTTCCCAGTTCTTTTGCGAAACGTTTGAAATTGCTTCATGCAGTAACACTTCGACGACTGCAATTTTAAAAGTGCTGTTTTTGGTGGCAACTTAATGTTTGGGTCCATACCAACTCATTTGGGCTATATTGGCAATAGTAAGGTGATAAGCGAATCACTTCGTGTCCTGACTCCGAAGCTAACTGATCCAATTTGTATATTTTTTCTGGTCGGTTCCGTTGCACCTGTAAATATAATGTTGTTTGTATATTCAACTAAATATTTTTTGTATACCGCACCGTCGCCGTGTACCTGCCTTCGATGATTCATTTGTTGTTATCGATAATGGCGTTGCGCCCACGCAACATGCTCACCGCCCTAGTCGGGCTGAGGCAGAGCTATGATTTATGACCCCAACTGCACGGACAAAATAATTTTACTATAATTACTATTATACACTTCACGATAGCATTAATTCACTAAATTTCATTATGCAAAACAACAGACATCATCTCCAATTCATTTACGTAGGTATACTGGCTTATGCTTTTCTAATTAATTCACCGTTTAGGGATTATAGTGAACCATTTCTATAATTCCATATCATTCTAAAAGTCTAAAAGTGATACGCTAGCCCGCCTTATCAAGGCCGCCATACACTACATACGGAATTCCATTTCGGAATTATATTTACTTATCACTGTCTTTTTCTACCCATATCTGTTTACAACAATGAAAGTTACTGACAACAGATAATTATTAATTTATAGGTTTTCTACTCACTGTAAAAATTACAAACGGCATCCGAGGCAAATTGATTACGACGTCAATGATTTGCGGTATGGTGGTTTAATATAATTTAAAGTTTGTAAAATTCTGATTGTTCTTCCAGATATTGTTCAAATAGACGTAATATTTCAGTCTCGTCGCGGTATTCGTGCGAGGGAGAGGCGTGTTTCGCAAATAAGCAATATTTTTTTTGCGTTATTTGCTGTTAAAGTTGTTCGCGCTGCTACACCTCGCTACCTATGTAGCGGAGTACCGTTATGTTGCCGATGTGCGAGCGGCCCATTCATAACGAAGACGATCATTAGAGTGGTATAATACTAATGAATGTAAACAACTCGCATTTAGAGAATGTGAATACAGTTATAATGGCGAGCGATATTTCCTTGAGTGAACATAGTATATCAGATGCGGAAGAAGAGCCTTACAGAGAAGAGAACTTAGTACAATCTGGAATGCAAGAAGACCAATTTGGGAGGGAAAAAGGGGATAGGGGGGAGAATTTTGTCGAGGACGATGATGATAATGAGGGATTTAGTCAAAAGCAAAGAGAAAAGATTAAAACCACAACTGAAGGAGGATATTGAGATGTATTTATCTAGCAATGAAAAGTTGCCTAAACAATTTGCATTAGCTAAGATGCTGAAGGTTTGTGGGATAGTTGTGTAGCGGCGCTGTCGTCGCACTACAAGCGAAACACATCGAAGCCTAAATCGCGCAATCAACATTCCGAATCATAAACAATATATATAGAACTTCTCCGAACTATCACACGGAGCGTTGGCCGCTCCCCGGGCGGAACACCTTGCCCGGCGGGAGATCTCCCCTTTTCCTTCTACGGCCACAGTGATGACTACCCAACGTGATCTGAAAACGCAACCAACAACATTCGGAAACTTCAAGCTTCATCATCGTCATAAAACACCCCACCCATTCGCTCCCGAGCAGATATCGTCTACAGTCTTCGTATCCTGCAAGCCAGCTAGCTTCACAAGGTTCATCGCAGCACTGGAATAATAATGCTTCCTGTTCCTTCAAGCTACTCTCTGCGCTATACAGCATTCGGCACGGCTCTGAGCCTTACTGCTTGCCTCTGCTTCATGGCACTCTCGCAGATTACTTGCCTTCTTCTCGACTCACCACAGACTACAAGGCAATCTCCTGGCATTTGTACATTCGTCGGCAACGAGGCTGCACTATCGACCTCCGGTCTGAGCAGGGGTGATGTAGCGGCGCTGTCGTCGCACTACAAGCGAAACACACCGAAGCCTAAATCATATGATATAACCCTTCCGAATATTACCGGGAGTGTGTGGTCCGGTCCCCTTTTCTTTCCACGGCCACAGTTGATATCACCAGAATAAATATATATTAACCCTTTCAAGATTCGTGTCGAAGTCTGCAGCGAGTTAAGTGCCGATAAAATTGAAAAATGTCAAGAATTCAAAGATAAAGGTTGGAAGGTATATAGGGCTACGGAAAGGACTTCATCTTATGGCGTCATTAAAGACGTTGACCTTGATTTATCTGACGAGAAAATTTTAAGAAATATAATGTGTGATAAACCCGTAGAAATAATATCTGTATATCGGCTTAAACGTCGAAACAGAGAGGCAGAAGGTTGGTAGCCAAGTGAAGCGGTACAAGTGTGCTTTAAAGGTTCGTTTATTCCACAGTACATATACGTTCATGCATTACGTATAAAAGTTACTCCTTATGTATTTCCCGTATCGCAATGCTCGAAATGCTGGAAATATGGTCACTCTACAAAGAAATGCCCTTCCAGTAAAATAGTCTGTCCGAAATGCGATGATTGTCATGAGAACTGTGAAACACAGAATTTCCAATGTGTTAACTGTGGTGGAAACCATATGGCCTTGCATAAAGCTTCATGCCCAGCCTTTTTAAAGGAGAAGAGGTTGAGAGAAATCATGGTATAATTTAACTGTACTTATAGGAAAGCCTTAACAGTTTATGTACCGACCCCAGCTTCCTTGCTTGGAAAAAATAGCTTTCGACAACAGTCTTACAACCAACATGATCTCACAAACGGAGAGTAGATTCCAAGAACGTGATACCTCCACATTTGCAGAGATAGTTAAAACTGACATCACATTGCATAAAGAGAATATAAATGATGTTGAAAACACTTCTGCCAATACTTTAATGAGATTTCGACGTACTCGTAGGAGGGACACGGCTTCTTGTAGGTTGGAGCTCCCGATAAACTCATCTACAATGATTAGTGAGTCAACAGTGCCTCCTGATGCGGCTGCTAGTGAAGAGATTTTTCTCTGCACTAGCAGCCGCATCATAAATGAAAAGCTTTTGAATGAAAGTGTTTGTTTGGACGAGCTATTTGTGAGACTAAAAGAAATTATATTTTTAAGGGAATTGACGATGGAAGACAAGCTACATAGGGTGTTAAAGTGTTGCTTAGAGTGGTTAATCTTATTGAGTGTACAATTCGTATCAAAGTGGCCTTTATGTAAGATTATTGCTGACTATTTTACCCCCAATGTCTCGTAGTCAGAAATCTGTTAGGTTAAATATTGCACAATGAAATTGTCAAAGTATTTGACCGAAATTAATACCCTTAGAGCAATCTCTGAGTCAACTGAAAATTCACATTGCTGCACTCAGGGAAACGTGGTTGGAACGAGATAGCTGAAGGTAAATGGTTACATGATATATCGTAAGGATAGGGATGACGGTTATGGAGGGGTAGCGGCCTTGGTCCACAGATCTCTTAAGTCAAGTTATGTGTCGTTCGAAAGCTGTAACTCCAGGGATTGAGATAATTTGTGTTAAGATTTGCAACTGTGATTCATGACATGTTCAGTACATATTATCCTTATATTGTGCTCCGTCAGAGCCAATTGATTGAGGTGTGAAAGTGATTGGGCACAAATTTTTTCTCGTTTTAACAATAAGGTGCTTATTCTAGGCGATTTTAATGGACACCACACAAATTGGTCTCATAAATTAGATCAAAGAGGTACCCAGATTTATGACGCACTTTTAGATACTGATCTCGTAACATTGAATGATGGCAACCCTACTCGTATTAAATTAGTGAATAATACAGTACAACAATCTTCGCCAGACATATCACTGGCTTCCTCAGATATAGCGTGTAAATTTAATTGGGGCATACTTAATGAAACGTTTGGCAGCGATCATCTAGTGATTAAAATTTCAATGCAGATAGATAGTCTACCCATACCCACGGTACGCAGGAATGATAAAAAGGCCGATTGGTCTGAGTACTGCAACTTAATAGAAACTCTTATGCAAGGTTTTATTATCACGGAAGACTCACAAAAAACATATGATTCATTTATCGAGTTGATTAATATAGCTGCAGACATTCACATTCCATATATTAAAATTAATTCTGACCCCGAGAAAAATTTCATTCCCAAACTTTACTGGAATAGTTCCTTATCAAAGTTAGTAGCCGAAAGACGGTTAGCGTTATCAAAATTTCGACGTAACCCCACGCGCTTTTATTTTGACAAGTTGCAGGAGAAAATAAGGGAATGCCAGAGAAGTCTTCGTATAGCAAAAAGTAAGAGTTTTCAAGACTTCTGCACTTCATTAGACGGGACGACATCTCATACTGTTTTGTGGAAGAAAATGAAATGGTTTAAAGGATGCTATGTACCGCGATCTGGTATTAGTAAAGAGAAGGCGCTTGGATTATTACAATGCCTGGCACCAGATTTCGTTTGTACTGAGGATCCGACATTTAATTCAAATAACCCTAAGATTGAGACACAGATATCTCGACACGAATTGGACAATAGCTTGTGCACTAAGGACACTTCTCATGGTAGTGATAACATTTCCTACTCAATGCTAAATAATTTGCCGGATAATGCAAAATTAGTTTTAGTCAGGCTTTATAATATTTTTTTTAGAAACGGGTTTTGTTCCCCAGCAGTTGCGTAATATTACCATAATACCCATACCAAAGTCCGGCCGAGATCCTCAATCTGACTCTTCTTGGCGACCTATATCTATGATTTCCTGTGTATGTAAAATACTACATAATATATTGATTGAAAGACTAGAATGGTATGTTGAACATAACAACATGTTATCGGCCGATACTGTAGGTTTTCGCAAAGGGCGCTCCATTTTAGATAATTTATCTACCTTTGTGTCAAGACTCCAACTAGGATTTTAGGAAAGACTACTAGCTTGCTTTGTTGACATTGACAGTGCATACAACAATGTAAATTTAGAACGTTTATTAGATATTTTAGATACTATAGGGATAGGTTATAAAATATGTACATACCTACGGATTTTTTTTTAAAGAGATAAACCTAAGTATTGAGACTGATGATAACTCAGTAATAAGAAGTAAATGTTGTTTAGGTTTAGCTCAAGACGATCCATTTCCCCCGCTTTTATTTAATATCTTAACAATGGAGATTTGCAAGTCACTAAATAATGTATTTATATCACAGTACGCAGACGATTTTGTTCTATATGTAACCTGTAGTAATATAGAAGAAGGTAGAAACCAATTAGATTAGCTTTAAATCAATTTGTTAGTTTTCTTTCTCTTGCTGGGTTAGAAATTTCAGCTCTCAAAAGTAAAATTTGTGTTTTCCAAAATAAATTTGTATGGGACCCGGTATTTTAGTTACGTTGTTAAAAGTTACGATGGTCTAAACAAATAAATTAACTAAAAGAAAAATCCTCAAAAGTGCTTAATGTTTTCAAAATTTTAGCGGGGACAGGTTGGGGCATTCACCCAACTCATTTAAGGCGTCCACGCATATCGTGTATTCGTAGCAGATTAGATTACGCAAGTTTCCTTTATGGTAGTAGTTGCAAGACCCAAGCAAGCTAGATAAAATTCAGAATCAGTGTATGCGGGTAACCGGTGGTTTTATTAAAACAACACCTATACACGTCATGGAGTGCGAACTACACCTACCGCCTTTAAATGTACGAAGACATTATCTAGCCGGAAAGTATTGGTTAAAGGCGAAATCATTTTCTAACCACAAGATTATTCCCATTTTGGACGACCTGATTCTTTTAAGTCAAAATTCTTATTGGAGGTGCAAAGAAAAGCCCCTTTTTTATTTTAGTTCACAGTTACCTTAAAGATACTGCTGTACATATTAGTGCACAATTAGATATGTTTACACTTGATACCTGGCTGACCCAGGTGTCCCAATGTGAATATTTCGAATATAATTAAGTTTAACATAGATGCCGTAAGTAATGCTAAAAGAAGTTATAATTCCTTGACATTACAACAACTGTGTAACGGTTTTATTAAAATACATTTTCAAGTTATTACAAAATTTATACGGACGGTTCAAAGGAAAGTAATTGTGGCGATGTAGCTATTTATGACCCGCAAGTGGGTAGTTCAGTGAAACTACGTATTGATTCAAATGTCTCCATAATGTTGTTAGAACTGATAGCAATATCAGAAGCAATTTCTTATGTTCAATCTTTTCAATCGGGCAAATACGTCGTTTTAACGGATTCCAAGAGTGCACTACAACACATTGCTCGATGCACCTCGAATAGTCGAGGCACACCGATAGCATACAGTATCTTGGAGTCACTTTCCTGTTTAGCCACAAAAAAATACACAATAGCTTTACAATGGATACCTTCACACGTAGGCCTGACAGGAAATGAAGAGGCAGACTATCTCGCTAGACAGGCCTTGTCTGAGGGTATCCCTTCAGTTTGTTTGCCGTATTATACCGACGTTTTTTATAAGATTAAAAATAAATGTAGAAACATGCGGAACAAATATTTTGATCCCGAGTAAAAGGCATATAGTATAAAACAATCCAAAATAATTAGTCCCGATATCCTTGGTTTATTAATTCCAATTTGTCGAGACACACCATTGTAACTGCTATGAGACTGCGCTCCGGACATATCCCACTGAATAGTTTTGCTTACCTAATGGGCAAACTTAATACCATGAATTGCACTAACGTCACTGTGATGTCATTGAAGATGTTTTTCATATTTTAGTGGAATGTGCCCGGAACGAAGCTGAGAGGATATCCTTTGGGCTTGCTTACGGCATTAGCTTGCATGACATTAGTGTTTGTAATAGTATTCTTGCTACTCCCTTATCAGAGAAAGCGAGATTCGTATACATAATGGTTGATTGTGCTTTAAAACGTAGATAAGAATATTAAATTGTATATATTTTAATTACCATGTCGGTAACTATGGGGATGGCATGATCATCTTTAATCAAATCCTCTATTTCTCAATAAAGATTAAAAAAAATAGACGTAATATTTTGGCAGCTTATTGATTTTCTCTATTACGAGGACTATAATTTATTTAAAAACTTAAATAATTAATATAATAAATTACATAAGAACTCACGCCTCCACGTCACCCAGAGGGATAGGCAGAGACTACAGACTTCCATTTGGCACGATTCTGACACACCTCTCTCGCCTCTTCAACATCCATATACCTACACATAAATGCCCGTCGGTTAAGGGTACTTTTGATTTTGACCCTTTTCAATAGGTAGCCAATTTGGTCGACAAACTTTCACCTAGGACGTCCCTTACTGACTCTACCGTTCACTTCTGTTACATAAATTTGCTTTGTCACTCTTTCTCATTCATTTTCTACATGACCACACCACCGAAGTATTACTTTCCTAATTCTCGTCACAACATCATCTTGCAGATCACACTCTTCTCTTATTACACAATTTCTCACCCTGCCACTCAGATTCAGTCCTAACATACTCCTTATCGACCGCATTTCTACTGCGTTTATTCTACTCTCCTGCTTCTTCTGCCACACCCAACATTCACTACCACACGATAAAGTAGGGACTAACAGCATTGTTAATTGCCATACGTGCCTTTTTTGACACATTCTGACTTTCCACAATAGAGTGTAGAGCCCCATTTACTCTATTTCCTGCGTTTACTCGTCGTTCTATATCATTATCATATCTCTCATCCCTGCTAGATACGCATCCCAAATATACAAACTCATCTACTTGCTCGATCAACTCTCCTTCTATTCTTATTTCACATATCGTTTTACTTTATTTTCTTTCAAAAACTTCCTTTCTTTTAACGACCTGTTCATTAATGTAACCATCATTTGCAACTCCACCGCCGACGATGCAAAAATAACTTGATCATCGGCGTACAAAAGGCATTTGACGGTTACCTTACCCATTCTTAACCCGCATTCAAATTTTCCAAACAACTGTCCATAAGTAGTTTGAACAGCCACGGGGAAGCCACACAGCCCTGTCTGATACTTTTATGGATGTCAGACCAGTATGAGTAAACCCCGTTGATCCTAACAAAAGCACTGGAGTCCCTTAAAGAGACTTCAATGCTTGTATCAACCCAGCGGTCAACCCGAATAAGTTCATTGTTTGCCACAACAAATCCCTGTCCACTCTATCATAAAACTTTTCCAAGTCCATGAACGCACAAAAAACTTTTTGGTTTTTGACCAAAAACTTCTCCGCGATCATGCGCAAGGAAAATACTTGATCTGTACACCCTATTCCCTTTCTAAATTCGGCTTGCACATTCCAAATTTTTTCATACAGTAATTCATACAGTTTTCCCGCAATGCTAAGAAGGCTGATACCACGGTAGTTTTTACGGTCCTGCTGCGACCCTTTTCCGTTATATATTTGGACTACCATGGCTTTGCACCAGTCTTCCGGTACCCGTTTTAGTTCCCAGCATAAATTAAACAAGGTGTACAGCAGGCCTGCCACCACTTCCTCTCCAGCTCTTACCTGCTTTCATGCTTTTCACTGCTTTCAATATTTCATCTATACCTATCTCCCTACATTTTCCTTCCTCTTCTTTTGGAGTTTCCATTTCATTTATTCAAACGTTTCCACACTCATCCACTCGCTTTCAAAATATGCCTTCCATATCTTTAAACACAAAACTTCATTATTCGTAATACAGCTATTCTCGTCTCGTATAGTATTCAATCCAGTTATTTATAGCTTACAGCTGGACACTTTTTCATCTTGTCCTCTATATGAGATAATACGCCTTACCTGTACCCTCCATAGGTATACGAGTAATATGCGTAGTATCCTCTTAGTAGTCTGTGGGTACAAACGATAATTTGATGTAGGACAAAGACGTTAACTAAAGTTCCGTCGACAAAACAAGCTAAATGAAAATAAGAACTGGTTATTTGCCTCTTTTACTATTGACGGTAAACTAATAAGTAGTTTTGCTGAGTGGGCTGTTAAAACGTCAACGACCCACCGCTAAAAAGTGTACTACAAAATACTATGACTTTGCCCGCTATTACACAAAAAATTTGTGAGAGTTAACAAAAAACAGGAAATATATTATTTATAGCATTAGCATCAATAGCATCACAGGATACTTTTATTAGCAGTTAGCATAAGACATAGCACAGTAGTGTAGTGTGTTACGATAAACGATGTGCATAAACAATTAGCCACAGGGTTTATTTATTATTATTACGTAATCTCATCTATATTTTAATAACCACCTAGGTAAAATTAAATGTCACCTACCTATGTACTAAATGTAGTGATTATATTTTCTTTACTACCTACTTCCATGCACATAATTTTATTTACTTGGTCACAATTTTAATTTTATTTATTATGTAATAATCATAATTTTATTATATTTATTAAACTTTGCCTTTATTATAATTTAAAGATACATAATAAACTTCTGAGGGTTGTTATTCAAATATTACAACAATACTGTAATTATAATTTTTGAACGAAACATTGATAATTGATATTATTTTAGTGGCACCGGCAACAGATAAGGATTGCTGATTGCTAAATTTGTTACAACAATCTTCTGTCACTATGATATTTATTCTTCTTACTGTTACGTAAATAATTTCATCAAAGTAAACGTTTGTTTATTTCATAAATAAATTTAATGCATGTTTGAACCAACAGTGCCTTATTAGGAACAAAAGTGACGTTTAAAGAGTAGTGAAATTGATTACAGAATGTCATCAATGAGGTGTATGATAAGCCGCACAGCCGGTACCATTCGCTTTTGGCCCGGTCTGTCAGGAAGGTTGGAGCGAAACGTTTCTTGTTTAATCAACAAAACTTGCAATTCTCGCACCATGGCTTCCAAAGCAGTGTCAATGGAAAATATTAATCCAAATATTGTGAAGTTAGAATATGCTGTGCGCGGGCCGCTGGTCATTCGTGCTGCTGAAATAGAAAAGGAGCTTGAAAAGGTAATTCAATTTATATACTTTCTCATGTTATTGTTATGAAATTTAGAGAGTTTGGCCTAAACATTCGTACCATAATTAAGAATTGAAGCTGTCACTAGAAAGCACAAAAAATCTGCGCAAGTCGTAAATGTTCATTTATTCCGGCATATTTATCTTTATAAACTATTTAGGTACCTAACTCTAAAGTATGAGAGCACCTACTGCCCTATTACCATCATTTTTAATTTATTTTATTATAAAAGCAGTGTATACTTTTATTCCTTCTACAACCAATTGAAATCAATAAATGTCTAATTTAAAGTAAGTACCCACAATTAAAATATTTTGTCTATTTTTTGTTAGTAATTTTGTAGTGTTAAACACTTTTAAATTGAATTGAAATTCTTAGCAAAGTTGAAACAGATTTTCAAGTCATAAAATATGTAACCTTCCAGTCACGATCTGAATATTTATGGAAATAATAATGGACAGTATGCTTCACAGTCCCCTGATAAATAGTAAACAGTTAGCATATAGTCATGAGTTTCTATTTATCATATGATCATAAGTAGTATATAGATTTATCTGCTAATTCATTCCAAAAAGTGTTATTTTTATGGTAACATACACATGCTGTTTGATTTTAAATTGTAAAGAGAACAATATTGTTTTAACTTTTTTTATCTCGACATTGGGTGACTTTAATCTTAAGTTACAGAAGTTAGTGTAATCTTCTTCCTGCTACCAAACACTTTGATTCTTCTTCTTGAATGATATTGTTTTATGAAATATAATATAGACACACATCAGTGACCATGTTGTTGCAGTGTAAGAATTTCCACTACTTTTTCTCAGGTGGGTGTGGTAAAAGACAACAGTGGAAAGCAAACCAGAAGATGGGGAATAACTATATAACTATATACTACAATAAGATAAGAATCTGTTATTGCCAACCCGCTTGCTATGCTTGTCAGCTATGACAAATTTCTCCCTTATGGGGCAATCTACAGGGGAGCCATAGGCCTCTTTTACATAGGTTTAGCACTGGTATTTTGATAGGCTGCAACAGCAACAAGGTAGTGTGTCAGCCAAGTTCGGAAAAGAGAAGGATGGCACAACTGCAGTGTGCATATTTTCCCTTTGAACCATTTCTAGCAACTATTAACTGCTCCATAAACATAATTTCACCAGCAAAATAACCACTTTTAACAACAATCACCAGCAAGTAATTTTGCTTGTCTAATAAGGGTCCCTTGAATACCTAGAGTTCTATAAATGAGCCATGAGTTCTATAAATGTTAATTAACAATAATTTATATAATATTGTATTTTAATGGCAACACTGCATCGGTTGTCAACACTGTGTCTGTGGTTATGAAGGAAGATTCAATATGACGTTATAGGCTCTCCATGTTGTTGTTTTGAGATTAATAAAAGGCAAGTTTTATGTTCAACGTATTATATCTTTAATTATCCCCATAATCCTTAACAGGGTTATGGGCCCAGTACGGCCATCAGTTTTATAGTGGATTAATAAGTGTTAAAGGACAGAAAATGTCAAAAGAAAAATATCAAATTGTCCCTTTTGCGGGGGACAATTACAACGCGTGGGAGTTTCGATTAAAAAGTATCCTGCGGGATAATGGAGCAATAGAGGCGATCGAAAAGGAGGATTTCAGTAAATCTACGGATAACAAGCAATTGCAATTGGAAGCTAAGGCCCAGGCTGTCATAATAGAGGCAACCGCCGACAGTCACCTCGAATACTTAAAGGACAGATCTGCTTATCAAATGATTAAAAGCATGGAAGACAGCTTTAAGAAGAAAGGTACACGATCTAAATTATTTATAAGAAGAGAGTTGAACGGAAACGTTTAATGGAACATTTTATTGACATGGAAAAGCACATTTGCACAACTTAGGGATGCTGGCAGTGAGCTCTCGGAGGAATAAAAGGTTAACTATTTACTCCTATCCATGCCGAAATCTTATGAAGGCATTATCACGGCTTTGGAAACTGTGGAGGAATTGAAAATGGACTTCGTGAAAAACAGACTGCTTGGGGAAGAGGAAAAATGGAACAGAGGAGCGACCAAATTCCTTGACTCTTCAATCTTCTTGTGTTATGGATGTGGACGCCCCGGACACAAAAAATCCCAGTGTAGGAGTACTCAGCAGGCATGACACAGGACTGGCGACTGGAGACTTCACAGCCGTGGATGTAGCGACTGGAAGTACAATGGAGGCTGAGACGACAGTAAGGCAACTCGTCATCAGACCCAGGGGAGAGGTAGATGAAAGTCATTTCTTACAGGCACTGAAAATACTGAAGGTAACAAATTTGTAAGTTTTATGTCCTTTAGCCCTGACACCGAACAGAAGTATAAAAATAGTTTTAAATGGGTTGTTGACTCAGGTAGTTCATTTCATCTTGTAAATGACATTAGTTTATTCTTTAATTATTGTAAACTGGATAGCCAATTAAAATTTCAGCTGCCAAAAATGGCATTGATTTAGAAGCTGTTGGTGTAGGAACAATAAAATGTTATTTAAGTGATTTTAAAGTTGATATAATATGATGATGTGTTGTAGTGTAGTACCACAATTAAGAAAAAAATTATTATCTGTTTCCAAAATGGAAAAGCATGGTTTAAAGATCGTCTTCAATAAAGGGGAAGTTAAAGTTTTCTCAGAAACCAATGAATTGCTTATGGTTGGGCATAGACTAGGGTTCCTTTATTTTGTAGAATTTAAAGTAATATTTAATGTTTGTTATTATGGTGCAAAATCAGACAACCATGATAATTCAGTAGAAATTTGGCACAAACTATTTTCTCACTTAAGCTATAGTAGTTTGAAAACTTTAGTAAATAAAAATTTGGTTGATGGTTTAACTGATTTGAAAGAAAAAAATTTAGAAAATAGGCATTGTGAACCATGCAAACTTGCTAAGATTACACGCCTTCCTTTTAATGGGAAAATGTATAAGGCTAGGAAACCCTTAGAACTAGTACATACCGATGTTTGTTCTGTTAGCCCTTCTACGTGGGACGGGTATAAACACTTTGTTACTTTCATAGACGATTTTACCCACTTTACCGCAGTTTACTTATTAAGAGACAAGTCTGAAGTTTTTGAATATTTTAAGACTTATTATAATTATGCTAGTAATCATTTTGGTCATGGTATATTGAAATTAAAATCAGATAATGGTTGTGAGTATATTTCTAGAAATTTTAAATCCTTTTGTGATGAAAAAGGCATAGTATTGCAGTATACTGCTGCATATAATCCCGAAATGAACGGAGTAGCTGAAAGAATGAATCGTACTCTGACTGAAAAGGCGCGTGCATTATTGTTAGATTCACAGCTTTCTAAAGAGCTTTGGGGCGAGGCCCTGCGATATGCGGTATATGTCACTAATCATAGTCCCATTGCTTCCCTTAATGTTACACCATTTGAAATGTGGGAGGGAAGATGTCCTAATGTGTCTAAATTTAGAATATTTGGGTCATCTGCATATGCCCATATTCCCCAAAAACTCTGAATGAAGTTGGACCCTCGTGGTGTGAAATTGAAAATCGTTGGGTATGCTCCGGGGGGATACAGATTATGGGATGCTAATGAAAGGAGGATACGCATAGAACGAAACGTGTTGTTTAGAGAAGAAACATGTTCAGAGTCCCCTGAAACGATTAGTATTGACGTGGAGTCTATCTCGTATGGGAAGGAGAAGGATGGTGATAGTATTCCTGAGAAAAACAAAACCCCTTTAATTTCTGATAAAACCCAAACCCATGGTACTGTGAAAATTTTAACTTCTGATAATAATTTAGAGTCATTACAACCTGAGAGAAGGGATACAGATAATGTTAATTCTAGGGAGAAAAGAAAGAAAACTAAACCAAAATATTTACGAGATTTTGTCACTGATGATTCAGATTTAGATTCAGAGTGAGGTGATTTTTTATAGGATAGGGTGACAATCGAGCACACAGTCCACCTGATGGTAAGTGGTTGCTGTGGCCCATAGACATCTACATCTATCCTCGATTACGAATCAAAATGCAGATGTGTTGTCACCCGTGAGGACTAAGATGGAATGCCTCGTTTCCAGTAAAATGGGTCGCCGGTTCTCTACACTCACCATACGAAATACAGCAGCATTAAGCTACTATTTCACGCTGGTATTCTGTGAGAGCGTGGTCCTTCCCCGGTCGAGCCGACCCATTCGTGCTACAACTATACATCTAATATAACTGCAGCATGGCTCTACCACGTAAAAAATCTTTTATATTGTTCTAATGGTAATGTCCCAGAAAAATATAATGATATAGATTCTTATGACGATAAAGATAGGTGGTATGAAGCGGTAAATGAAGAAATTAAATCTTTAGAGGATAACAAGACTTGGGAAGTTGTAGAAAGATCAAACAATGCTAAGTTAATTGATTGTGGATGGATTTTTTCAAAAAAGGTGGGTAATGTATATAAAGCTAGATTAGTTGCAAGGGGGTTTCAACAGGAAGGTAGTTTTACCGAAATTTATTTTCCCGTTTTGAAATTACAAACTCTCCGAGTTCTTTTATCATTAGCTGTTCAAAGGAACTATTTAATTCATCAAATGGATGTTAAAGGTGCTTTCCTTCATAGTGAAATTGATGATGTTGTATACTTAAAGCCCCCACCTGGTGTAAATATAAATACAAATTATGTCTTGAAATTGAAAAAATCACTTTACTGTCTTAAAAAATCTTCAAAAAATTGGTACAATAAATTTTATGATTTTATGAAAGGTAAAGGGTTTCAAAGAGCAGAAAGTGATTATTGTTTATATTTTAGGGATGATATTTACATTTTGTTGTATGTGGATGATTTATTAATTTTAGGTGAGGACAATTCAAGGATAAATAATGTTAAAGAAATTTTAAGCACAGAATTTAAAATGAAAGATCTAGGATCTAAAAATTTAAAATATCTGGGTATTAATATTATTCAAGATAGTGACTGTTTGTATATTA